TCTTTGAAAATCAATTACTCGGACACCAGATGTGATAATCAAAACCTAATTAATCTACAATTTTCTCAAATGTTTGATTGAGGCATTCCTGGAATTTTTTAGAGCTGATCCTTATAACTGATTTTTACCGAGAGTTTGAAAATGAAAAGTGCAATATCGTTCAGTCTGTTGTGGTCTAGGGTTAAATACAATTATATGTTATTATAATGTAAAATGTTTGATAATTGTCAATATAATCAATTAATTATTGATATATCTATGTTAGATATTTTAAATGAACATGTGGCTACACTAAGTATCCCCGGGATACTAGACTGAACAGCAATAGTCTATGGCAATGCTAATCCTATGAATAATGTTAAGTCTATGGGCACACAAACAAAATAGAATTAATAACAAAGAAAATTATTATTAAAACCGAATAAATATCAACAATAAAATATTACTAATACTTTTTTATTCATAATTTTATTAGAAATTACTATTTACTATGGTATAAGTTTGTAATATCTTACAGTATAATATCTTACAGTATTATTGAAATTGAAAATTTTAATATTCTATAATAAGTTAATAGGAAATATATTTTATAATTGTTTTGGGAGTTTAATTGCAAAATTTGAAATAATAACTTAACATTAATTAAATCACGTATTAATTAAACATTTAAATTTATATTTATTGCAAATTAAAATTAATTTATATTTCATGATTGTATTCCTTAAACAGTAAAAGGAAGGAAATTGACCAAATATTTCAAATGTGACATGTCACATTTGCATTTCTACACAGAGCAGTGCTTTTGTTTCGCACATAAAAACGTGTGAATAAAGCGATTAACGCTCACAAGTTGTCAGCGAGTATTGAAGGCGTGTTTTGCCGGCAAAGGGTTATGCATTGTATGGCATGTAATTTGTGAACCATTGGGTCTAATATAAGTAGAATACTCTATTGTCTAGTTACTATTAATAGACTCTAGTACAATAGTAGTGTATTGCCATATATTGTTTGTTTATTCATTTGTGACCACAAATTGTGTCCACAATTAATCGGCAAACGATCGCAGAAATTGAATCAGTGATGGAGTTGTCGGGCGTCGGGGAGCGAGTCTTCGCCGCCGAATGTATTCTTCAGAAGCGGATCCGCAAATCGCGTGTTCAGTATTTAATCAAATGGAAGGGTTGGGCCCCGAAGTACAACACGTGGGAACCCGAGGAGAATATTCTGGACGCAACACTTATCCACGAGTTTGAACAGATAGATCGAGTGCAGCACTCGAGTCGACGACACCGATGGCGCGGACGCAGCGGTTAAAAGTGATGGCATTCATCGAGAGATTGTCTCCGGATATGAAAATTGCTTTCTATTATAACATGTTTCCCATCGATTCACTTGAATTTTCTCAATTTCTATACTTTTATTGCTCTAATTATTTTATTTTAATGTCATTAATGTAGTTAAAAATTACTACTTTTTAATTAACAATTAATGTAAACTTGTGTTATTTTTTAAACTTCAATGTTTTAAAATTGATTACACAGGTTAATAACTCTTGACAAAGAATTTGAAAACTTTTTTGAAGTTACCATAATTTAATTATCACACTTTATAAAATTAAAATACAATTCATTTGTATACTTGTGTTAAGAAATATTTCATTAATTGTAATAATTGTAATAAATATAATTAATTCAAACCATAATTTATTAATACTTTTATTAAATTTATTGAATTTGTCGAAAGAGTGTCTTCAGAGCCGACAATTGCTTTCTATTTTAATGATATGTTTGCCATGACTTCACTTGAATTCTCGCAATTCCTATACATTTGTGCCTCAAATTACTTTGTATTCAAAGAGTTATTTTGTAAATTTAATTTCTCATTCAAATGATTGCATTTAATTGTTTTAAACAATTATAAATTGCTGTAAAAACCGGTGACCATATATCTTGTCATACATCTGATTACTGTTATTTCGTATTGGATTTGAACGAGTGGTCAAATACTGGTCACTGAGTTGTGGTGCGATCGCTGTTTGATTAGATAACCGTTAGATAATAGTCAACACAAAGACAATTAAATACAGACACGTATATCAGTTGACATGTGTGGCCAGTTGTTGGTCACCGTTTGTCACAATTTTGTCCAACTTTTTGCTAATCCGTATGACATTCGTGTGAATCCATTCCTCGACAGTCGTGTCGTAAAATATTTTCTTCATTTCTGTCTCTATTTGAAGCCTCATTTGTTGGACACGAAACAGAAGTCTAATTAAAACATACAAAATATCAACAATTAGTGTCCATAAAGACAGCACATCCGGAAGGCGATGATGTCATACACTCTGGCCTTTAATAGAAACGCCTCGATGTGTAACGGATTGGTTCTGTTCAGTGATATCTGGTATGAAGTGAAGGCGCCCTCAAAACTATTACAATAAAGACAATCAATTGGTTAACATTTTATAAATTGAGACAATTATCTGTCAAACCTTTGATTACTCTTTAGTTCATTGAATTCTTTGACTAAAAACTGCCATTCATTACAAAGTTTAAAGAGATCTACGCCGGGATAGACATCGGAATCAATCGCCTCTAAATCGGTGGCACTATTAATATCAATGGGGATCAGCTGTTTATTGCCGATAAAAGTGGACACATTTCGCTGTATGTCTTCATTAAAGTCTCGTTCATTAAACGCAAACAAACACATCATCAAAGAGACCATTGAATTGGGCATCAGTTCGCATAGAGTGGTCATGTGATCGAACCGTTGCCAACCGGTGAGCGCCAGACCGGCCACCCGTTCGGCCAATTGGTTGTCCTCAATCACCCGAACCCATGCCAAGTGATTGCTAATGTAATGGTCAACCGGTGGCAGCATTTGGTTCATTTTGGCCGCGCCTTTGAATGCGCTGGCGATCCAAATGCGGTCAAACGAGTGCTTGTATTTCGACCACAACTGCGGGTCCCGGAGCTGAAAGCACTCGGCGTCCAAATAGTGCCACACCATTGGCTCAACCAAACGATTGAGTCCGGAATCGGCCAGAGTTTGGTCGTCAATGTGTCGCATCATATCGTCCCATACGATGACTTTTATGTCGAAAGTCTTTCGCACAAATTCGGCCACTTTTCGCACGTATCGCAGGAATAGCTGTGATTTGTCCGCAAGACAGTGATCGGTGAGGTATTGCCGGCACCGCTGACAGTGACCCAAATGCCAGACCTCATCGCAGCCGATGTGAATGGCGTCCAATTGTGTCCACCGCTGGTGACCGGCGATCATCTGCCGCAACATCTCCTGAACGGTGTCCAGCGATCTGTCATTTGTGGGAC